TTTGTAGTACTTATATGAATGTAATTTTATTATTTTTTATTAAATGTGTTTAAAAATTCTATTTGTGCCATAAATGTAAAGACTATCAATTTTAATATGTGTTTTTAGTATTTACCAATATATTGAGAGTTGGACCCTGGTTGCACCCATTCATCCACCTGTAGATATTACGATTATAGAGTAAAATGTATAAATGTGATAATAAACGTGGATAGAATACCTATCATTAGAGTGATGATTAAATAGATTAAATAATTTATTTTATTATTAATACTATTTGTAGAATCTCCAAATTTTATTCCTTATTAAAATAAAATTATCTGTGCCAATTTATAAATTTTAGAAGCTATTTTATCTGGAATAGAACTTAACCAATTTTTTTGTAGTTTTCATGTGTATTCAGCAAATTAAATAGATGCAATTATCTGAGGCAGGCAATGTAACTAATGTTGTTATTGGTTGTTATTCTCTGATAATAGATGGATATAATTTGTGTTTTTACATTAAAGTTTTAAAAAAATACTCGTTGTATTTATTATATTACATCGTGTAGTGTCTGTATAAGAATTTCCACTATACCCCATATTGTCCCATGGGTAACGTAACATTCGACAGAACAAGAGATGGGCAGCAGCATCTTTCTAATAACAATACAATTAACCCTTCAATCCCCATAAAAATCCCAAGCAGTCGCAAGCGCCCGGCAAATCCCGAGCGGTGGCATGCAACCGCACCCACCCACATCACTTAAAATCCTTAAAACTTATATTTAGAGACTACTTTTCTATGAAGAAGTTTGACATTACAAAATCTATACATAATTTTCTATCCTGTGGTGTTGTATTTTGATAACAAAAAAAAAAACATATCAAGCGAATGTCGGCAACGTGAAAATCAAAATTATTTCAATATACTCGTATGTATATTACTCGAAATTATTTACGTTAAAAGATAAATTATATTCACACAAAAACTATTATTACAATTTTATAATAAAACACTATATTTAGTATAATAATAATAAAATGCTAATAAAACACTAGAAAAATCCAAAAATCAACACAATAACATTCACGCGAAAATGGCTTACGAAATGAACGTGGATTATAAATTAAACACATTATATATATTAAAACTAAAATTAAACAGTTTTCAATATCTTTAAGATAACTAACTTTTTATTGCACTAGAAATTTTCATATTGATTCCTTAATGCCAAACTTTTTCATAGAAAAGTAGTCTCTATTTACAAGTTTTTATGGGTTAGAGTGCTGTGGGTGGGTGCGGTCATATTTGACCAATTCAATTTTGACGGAATATCGAAGCGCTCAAATTTGGCCGCTTGGTGTCTGAGAGGTTAAAAAAAATTGTCACTTTCCGACCCACCTCTTAATAGCGACATTACGGATAACAAATAACCACCCCATCTTATTAGGCAATATATTGGGAGACCTATATTGAGCAGTGGACTTTTGCTGTAATATATATGCAAATGAAAATTCATTAGGGACTACAGACAGATGTGAAAAATCATATCCACAGATTCAAAAATATTACTACGTCATAACTATGAAATATCAGTGACTTTTTTTTTGATTTTCAAATTAATTGTAGTATCTCTAGGTACTTATCAAAAAAAAGTTTCATAATTTGGAAATTAAAATCATTAGCATTTCTGTTATCAATAACTAGTCTGATTTTCACATCAATCGACACTCCTGTTATATATTGCTGCTATTACAGTATATTGACGACTTGATGACGTGCCGACAAATTAATCCGCTCGGCGAGATCGAGCGCGGGCGGGGCAGTGCGGGCGCGGTTCAATGAAACTGTGCATGTGCATTGTGCATTTCATTACTTCGATCTCATAAATGCGCACGTGCGGTCGGATAGTTGGTTTTGGTCAGTAATCGATCTAATAATTGGTATTTGTACCTATTCGGTAGTGTATTTTACACATAAATCGTAATGGCGGCTTCTCACTGCGTGTGTTATCACGCGCCGTGCCACGCCCGCACGCTCCTCCCGCAGTGTGTGTGAAGGGCTTGGCGCGGCATGGCGCGGGCATGCGTGGCGCGGCGCGTGCTATCCGTTTAAAATCGGTAACTTCAAAGGCGCGGCGTGGCACGTTGAGTTGACGTTGAGGTACTCTCATGTCTATATAGATATGGAGTGGTCTGATGAGACGATTGCTGAATTTTTAATTTTAACGATGTCATCCACCAGCGCTCTTCTTCTTCTTTTTTTGTTAATTTTATTAATTAAATGATATCCACAAAATAAGACAAAAGCGGGTGAAGCAACAGCAATGCTTTCTTCTTCAGTGGCATTGCTGCATGGCTGGAGGTGGCAATTCGACTCACACGACAGCAGGTGCGCTGCGCTAAACAGACTGACTCAGTGGCTCGGAGTTTGGGCAAGCACGCGCCACGTCGCGCCAGTTAAAACTGGTGGTGCGGGGCTCGCGCGTGGCGCGTGCTTGTGCGTACAAATCAACACGGGCAGTGCGGCACGTGATAACACATGCAGTGAGAAGCCACCATAATAATAAGACAATATTATTACTATTTCTGTGGTTTTTACTAACGCGCAGCGCAACACAGATAAAATGGCGACAATTATAAAAGCTAAAATTAAACAGTTTTCAATATCTGTGATACACGACATTTTGGTGATCTGGTTATCGAAGAGGATTATAAAAAGAAGAAAGTGTGCAATGATCAAGTGTTCTGCAATGCATGCTTGACTGCTGTCCAAGAAGAGAATGATGAAATATTATTTGGATTGTACCTTACTTAGGTACCTTATCTATATTTCTAACGGGTTATAAAACTATTTATTAGACTGCTTTTTAATTTTTGTTTTTAATTTTTGGGCATCGAAACGTCGTCGTCATCATGAGAAAAAGCAAGAACTTAGCAAAAGAAAAGAAAACGTTTGTTATAATATAACAAACAATACAGTATACGTATGGCAGATATGGACTAACCCGTAAGTAATGTAACTAGCTTAGCTAACTTAAATGCAATGTGTGTTTTTTATAAATAACTTCTAATTATATGTACGTTATTTATAGTTTAATACGTATGTGTACATATTTTGTTGTGTTTAATATCTGCAGTCTGGTTATGGTGAATAAACATAAAATCCTTGTATATTTTCTTATAATCTATTTTCTTATAACTTAAATATCCTCAATTCTTTGTCTGACGAAGAAACACTATAGTATGTGCCAAATCGATTGAGAAAAACGGACAATGACCTTTCGGTCGTTTAACCTGGTGTTACAAACCTTTAATATATAGGCACATTTTATATGTAGCACTTTCTTTATTTATAATGATTCTTTTATTTTATTTTTATAATGATTGATATAATATATATTTATTAACTATTATTAAAAAGTTATGTAAAAGATCGCCATAGAAGAAAAATCATCTATTGTTATAAAGTACTTTATTAATTTAACGACAGAAAGCATTCATTTATAACACATATAAAGATTTGAGTTATAACGACACCGAATATGTACGTACTTATTCAAAAGATAAATCTTTATTTTCAATAATATATAAGAACTTTATTTTTATTCGGTGCAATCGTCACTCGTAAATTCACTTGATGCGTATTCAGATGAACTGTCTGTAACATTAATTATAAAGTGATCTGCAGTTTGTTCAATTCTTTCATCCATTCCACGCATTTTTTGTTCAACCTTAAGGGCATGATGAACACAGTTTTTCCATTTATCTGGCGTGATTTGAGTTAGACCATCTTTAAGTAAATTTTTAACATCTGTTAACTTGAAAGGTGACGCATATCTGGCTGCCATTGTCTCGTTTGTTTTAGAACGAACTGTAACGCGCGTTTTGTTTATTTTAAAGGGATGAATTTGCAAAAGCTCAATATGGTGATTATATTGCTTCAAATATTTTTTTTTATATAAAACTGTTATTAAATGAGTTGCTGCGTTACTTACCATAAATTAAAATATAAAATATAACACATTTTTTGCGATGTACCGTAAGATTTTACGATTTTTATAGGAACCACAGACAATATTATTTAAGAAACAAAAAATCAAAACATATGTGCTAACCTAGAACTGTGAATAATATTAATATTTAAATATTATTATCACATCTAAATTGAGATTTTGTAAGTTACGCCTTTTGACACTCGGCACATATCGGCTCGATTTGGCACATACTATAATAATGCTCTGAAAAATAAAATGTTAGTTTAATTAGACAAAAGATTCCCAATTACTTATAAAATTGTAGTTGTGGCACTGTTGGATTCTCGGTTCATAAATTTAAGTAAGATTGCTTCGTACCTCAAACAGTGCCTGATTAACCACGTATCAAGAGAAGCAATTGCCCTGCATATCCAAGCATCCCATCATCACCTTAGCGTACTTTATTAAGTAAAACTTATTAAGACGGTATATTCAATTTGCTTTATGTCACATAAACGTGAAACGTTGCAAATGACAGTGGGTAACCGTTTATTCAGTTGGCGAAAATTAAACACAGAATTTCATACAGTAAACGCACAATGCTTAATCCGGCACTGACTATACTCCGTACTGTCATAGATAACGTAACAGGCGACTGACCAAGAGATGGGCAGCAGCGTCTTTCTAATGACAACTCAATAAAAAAAATTCCAGCTGCCGATCCGCCTGCTATCCGTGCCAATTTTTTTACAGAAGAAGGGGTAAACGAAAATGAGGCTCCCTAAGGTAAGTAGATTAAATTACCGAAGGGTCGGTCTCCTGAACGAGGCATCTTTGCTGACCGACTGTAGTGTGTACTTGCGGTGTAGTGTAATTGTATTTAATTTAATTTAATAGTAATTTGCATTTAGTAGTGATGCCATCGCACAAGCCACCGGCGCTTCGCCTGCAGGTGGAGCTGCGCTAGGCCGCGAATGCCCATACCTTGATAGAGCGACCCAATCGGGTCCATAGTTTAGAGAAGCGGCTCGAGCAGGTCATGGCCCGAAGGGCCGTAGTGGACGAGGCTTGCACTGAGCTTTTGGCCTCGGATGCGGAACAGGGAGTCCCAGACTCCTGCCTCGCGGACTACGAGCAATTCTTTTCGCTCACGGACGACTTGATCGCGGCGGGGGCCAATTATGCTAGTGAAGCGCGTGAAGCTCGACTGAGTGGCCTGCCCGAGCCCCCTCGGAAGCAGCCTACTCAGCCGGAGCTGTTGGGACAACTCCCAACTCTGGACCTGCCAAGGTTCTCCGGGGTCCTCTCCGACTGGCTGACCTTTGTTGGCCTTTTTGATAGCCGAGTGGACGCCCGGAGGGACTTGACACCAAGCCAGAAGATGGCGTAACTCCTGGCCTCACTGGAGGGGGAGGCCCTGGGCGTCGTCAGCCATTTGAAATTGTCGGACGCCGCCTACCAGGCCGCCCGGGACCTCCTCGCAGGAAGGTACGCTAATGTTCGGCGAATTGCGGACGAATACGTTGGACAGCTTCTAAACCTCCCGCTGCTTAGGGACCGGACCAGACTACGTCCGGACATCGTAAATCCAGTCGTGGTAGCCTGTAATTCGTTGAGGCGGCTGGATTTACCGGTGGACGAATGGTCCTTCTTGTTGCTCCACATCGTGCTGTCCCGCCTGCCTCTCGATCTTCGGATCCATTTTGAGGAGAGGTACGGCGGGGACGGCGCCTCCTATATTCCGCCCTTCAGGGACCTGCTGCGGTTCTTGGTGGAGCAGTGCCGGCAAATTGAGAACGCAGCGGGCACCGTCGACGACCTTCGGGTTGCCAACCGAGCCGTGACCAGGGAGAGGCGGAATCCACCGGGCAAGTCATCGCCAACCCCCCTAAGACCGAGCGGAGCTCCCGCGGGAGGGCGCCGCTCCCTACCATCTTATAGCGGCCTAGCGGCCAGGGAGGCACCCCCCGCTCCTATTGTCGAGCATCCGATCACCGGGTGACGTTGTGCCTGAAGTTACTGGGTAAGCCGGTCCCGGCGAGGCGAATCATCGCCAAGGAGCGCCGCTGGTGCTACTCGTGCTTGGAAAGGCACCTCCAACTAGACTGCCCGAACCAGTGGCCCGGTCCGCACTGCCAGGGCAACCACCATGCCGTTTTGTGCCTGGGTGCGGACGGCGCTTCCTCTCGGGGCACTGCCGGGCCCTCAACTCCCTCGGGCTGGGGTGCTCAAGCTCGCCCTCTGTCGGGCGACGCTCGGCGCTTCCCTGCCGGCCACCGTGCCCCTGGGTTTGAAGGGGTTCCCTCCCTCTACCAGTCGGTGGGTCGTTCCCTCAGCGGCGGGGGGGTCGTCGCCCCCTCAGCGTATTGAGAGGAACTTCACGGCCACTCAGCGATCAGCTAGACCCTTCTCACCCCCGTTAGCTTAGAGGCCGCGACTGGAGTACCACCCTCGCCCCTTTGGTCGGTACCGGTACTATGGGGTTCCTGCGACCTCGAATCTATTCCGGGCCTCAAGGCCGAGGTTCCCCGAAGCTTCCAGTGATTTTCAACCACGGGTCATTGAGATGCCGCCGAAATGCCGCTTTCGGCACCCCCGGTTCGAGTGCCGGTCCGATGGAGGCAGCTCCAGCTAGGTAGCTGCCACCCTAGCTCCCACCACGGCCGCCTCCACTGATCTTTTGAGTCGTCAACAGTCTACTTAATGATTTCTTATATTTACGCGAACACTGCACATGATTAAAACTACTTTTACGGATTTTATCGCGTTTATTTTTACTTTTTTATTTTTTTTTAATCCCCGACGTTTCGGGCGCTTTCCAGCACCCATGGTCACGGGGGACTGAGATGACTGACGTCCCGATGTCATTGTTAAACCCGGAGTACCTTCAGCTTTTTTAATTATTGCATAGATCGGACCATAAACAATAATTAAAAAAGCTGAAGGTTCTCCGGGTTTAACAATGACATCGGGACGTCAGTCATCTCAGTCCCCCGTGACCATGGGTGCTGGAAAGCGCCCGAAACGTCGGGAATTAAAAAAAAAAAAGTAAAAATAAACGCGATAAAAATCCGTAAAAGTAGTTTTAATCATGAACAGTCTACTTGTCAAACTGTTCTATTGCCGACGGCCTTAGTGAAGGTGTACAACCCGAGTGGCGACAGTTTAACGGTTCGCGCTCTATTGGATTCGGATTCACAACGCAATGTGGCCTCCACTTGGTTGGTGGGAAGACTAGGGCTCCCCTGGAGCTCTGAATCACGTCCAATGGTAGGTATCGGAGGTGCCGAGCCTCCTGCTCCTAGGGGACAAGCGGAGATGGTGTTTGGCCCTGCCAGCGAACACCTTCACATTCTAATTAAAGTAAACGTCCTCGTTGACATTGTAGGTTTTCTCCCTAACGTCCATATAAATGACAGCGCGGTTCGTTGTGCGTCGGATTTGAGACTGGCAGACCCTCAATGGTCCCATCCTGGGCCTATAGATTTTTTGCTGGGGGCCGACGCGCTGGGGTTCATCTTGTTAGGCGAGATACGAGCCCTAAAGCCCGATGGCTTGTCAGCCATGTCCACTGTATTTGGGCACAGTTTCTTTGCCCCGGTTCTGTGGTCTCCACCTCCTCAGACGGCCGACCCGCTCTCTGTGGTGGGCGTGTCCCTTTCAGACGTCGTCCAGCGGTTCTGGGAAATTGAGGAGCCACCACACGCGTCTCGAGTCAACCCTCTGGACCGTGAGTGCGAGTGGTTCTACCAGAACAATACCGGCCGTCGTGTTGACGGTCGTTTTGTCACTCGCTTACCCTTTCTTGACTCACGGCCCCCTTTGGTCCAATCTCGTACCCTGGCCGAAAAGAGGTTGCTTTCCATGGAGCGCCCAGCCTTACGCGACAAATATGTCGAGTTCATGCGCGAGTATCAAGAGCTGGGTCACATGTCACTGTCCAACTTCGACTGGCGGTCACAGAAGCACTACTTCCTCCCGCACCATGTGGTCTTGAGGACCCCTGGGAGTAAGATTCGGGTAGTTTTTGACGGCTCCGCCCACTCGTCAAATGGTGTGTCTCTGAATCAGTGTCTCCACACTGGTCCTAAATTGATCAAGGACATATCCGATATTTTGACCCACTTCCATCGGCACTAAGTGGTTTTTGTAGCCGACATTCGGATGATGTTTCGACAATCAGTGGTCCATCGTGATGACCGTCAATATCTACTGATATTGTGGCGCGAGAAGCCCAGCGATCCGATACAGGTGTTTGATTTGAACACCACCACCTATGGACTCCTGTCCAGCCCGTATATCGCCATGCGAACTCTCCTCGAACTCGCTGAGAGAGAGAGTTCTATTTTGGAGACTTCGGTCTACATGGACGACCTTTGCACGGACGCCTCCACCGTCGAAAAGGCTCTTGTATTGCGAGACGAATTGATTGCCATCCTTAAGTCCGGAGGTTATGAGTTGCGCAAATGGTTATCGAACTCCCCTCATATTTTGAAGGACCTCCCAGGAGAGGATCAACAAGACCCTCATCTATTTGAGCACCCTGAAAATCCTAATTTGTTGACTGTGCTGGGCATTCAATATCAGCCTGTTCAGGATACTTTCACGTATCGAGTCAAACTCGATTCCCCTCCTAAATCATGGACCAAGCGCTCCGTGCTGTCGACTGTAGCCCGCACCTTCGATCCTAATGGATGGATCACTCCGGTAATTTTTTTGGCTAAGTGCTTTCTTCAAAAGCTCTGGATATCCGGGTTGGGTTGGGACGACCCTATAAGCGGTGCTCTCTTGCGAGAGTGGCACTCCATTGTGTCCTCCCTTCCGGACATCAACCGGGTCTCCATGCCAAGGTGCTTCCTCCCTCCAGGGAAGCAGGACTACCCTACATTGATTTTGCGACGCCTCTGAGAAAGGCTATGCTGCTGTCGTATATTTGCGGACTATGAGCTCTCCTGGCCATACTTCCGTCCATCTCGTACTTGCTAAAAGCAAGGTCAATTAGGTCCCGCTTAACTATCCCTAAATTGGAACTGTGCGGAGCTGCTCTTCTCACGCGACTCCTCAACCATGTTCACTCGTCTTTGAAGTCTGTAATCGACATTACGGACATCTACGCTTGGTCGGACAGTGAGATAGTAAGTTGTTGGCTCAGAGCTGCATCTCACAATCTTAAGGTCTTTGTGGCGAACCGCGTGTCTCAAATCCAGAATTCTGGCACGTCTCTAAACTAGAGACATGTCCCAGGGGGAGTTGAATCCCGCAGACTGCGCTTCTCGCGGCTGTGAAGCCCCCTCTTTGGTTGACCACCCGCTGTGGTGGGGTCCCAGTTGGTTGACTGAGTCTCAGTCATTCTGGCCCCAGAATAAATACTCCGAACCGATTGAATTGCCTGGCCTACGAGCCCGAGTAGGAGTGGGCAAGGATAAGCCCACTCGGGATTTCTCCCTGCTAGAACGGTACAGCTCTCTCGATAAGCTCTTAGGAGTGACTGCTTGGTTGCGTCGATTTGTCCGCAATTCGAGAGACCCGTCCAACCGAATCTCTGATTCCGTTTTGTCCCCTAGCGAGCGTCGCGAAGCCTTGATGCATTGGACCCGTATAATCCAAGCGGAGCATTTTGAGACCGCGATTGAAACCTTGAAGCGGGGCTTCGTTGTCAAGGGCGCTCTGGCCCGCCTGAACCTCTTCCTGGACGACGCTGGGATGCTGCGAGTTGGCAGACGTTTGAAAAATTCTCAACTGCCGTACGGTGCTCGACACCCGTTACTGATCTCTAAGGACGGCGCCTTTGTTCGCTTGCTGGTAACTCACCATCATGTTAAGAATGCCCACGCTGGGTGTAACGCTCTTTCGGATATTTTGCAGCGGGAGTTTTGGATTTTGGCTGGCCGACGCACCATTCGGAGCGTCCTTTTTAAGTGCATACCTTGTTATAAACTGAAGGCCAACATGTCGCAACCTATAATGGGGTACTTACCACCTGAACGCGTCAGGGCCATCTGACCATTCGCTGGAGTCGGAACCAACTTTGCTGGCCCCTTCCTCGTCAAGTCCTCCAACCTTCGTAACGCGCGTTCACATAAGGCCTATCTGTGCGTTTTCGTGTGCCTCGCCACAAAGGCCGCTCACTTAGAACTTGTAAGTGCCCTCAGCACTGAAGCCTTTGTGCCCACGCTGGGCCGCTTCGTATCGCGTCGCGGTTTGCCGGACCTGATCCGGTCTGATTGCGGAACGATACGGCACGGATAGATATTTGAAAGAGGTCGTCGAATTTCTGTCCAGCAACAGGACTTATTTAGGTACTGCGATGTCCAAGAAGGGCATACAGTGGAAATTCGACCCTCCTTGCCAGCACTGGGGCGGTATTTTTGAGGCGGTGGTTAAGGTTGC